GGCTCGCTGTTTTCAACCATAAAACCAAACGGAACCCTACCAAACCATTAAACTTACAAAACCTAAACCCCAAATGCATAAACTGAAGCTCAAACCCTCATCCCTGAAACCCTACTCCCTCATCCCTAAACCCTAATCCCTAAACCCTAAACCCTAAACCCTAAACCCCAAACCCCATAAACCCTAAACCCTAAACCCCATAAGCCCTAAACCCCAAACCCTATAAACCCTAAACCGTGAACCCTAATCCCTAAACCCTAAACCCCAAACCCCATAAACCCTAAACCCTAAACCCCATAAGCCCTAAACCCCAAACCCCATAAGCCCCCAACCCTGAACCCGAAGGCCTTCTGGAGATGGTTGAGCTTCTTGCTGGTGCTTATGGCAGTGACCTTCCCCGACCTGCTGGAGTGCACTTCTCCCTTGATATTCGGATTTGGGAGTGAAAGTTCGGGATCAGGGGTTGGGGTTTAGGGTTTAGGGTTTAGGGTTTAGGGTTCAGGGTTCAGGGGTTTAGGGTTTTGGGGCTGAGGGTTTCGGGATTTGCAAGGAGCAGGGATCAGGATTTGGGGTCAGGGTCTAGATTCTTAACCTTGCTTGGTGGGGTTTCGGATTTGGGATGCCCACTCATATTTTAGGATCCCTCTGCAGTTGAAGCTCATACTGCTGAATTAAGACAACTAAGAAGCTTTGGAGCGTCTGCGAGAGTGTTTGGGGTTCAAGTTACCTGGTTCCCTGTTTGGGCTATATCAACAATGATCATTGTTAACCCTAGTTGGGTTTTATTATAACAAACATGTAAAGTTGTATCCAACAAGGACCCAGCTGTTGGGTTTCCGCTCTCAACTCGTTTCAGCCGTAAAGTCTCTCGGTTCGCAGGTTCGTTGAAGTGACATGGAACCAACGGCTGGAAGATAAGCCAAACAAGTTATACATCAAGGGGCTAAAAGGAAGGAGCCTTAAAGGAACCCTTGGGGTTATATAGGGGCTTTATGAGACCATATAGGGGGTATATAAGGGTTTTCGGATTGGGGGTCCTTTCTAGGGGTCCCTCCTATTGTCCCTCAAATACAGCAAACGTAGAAGTTAAGCATACCGTCCAGGCTCTCACAACTCGGACACGCCAGGCATAGTTGACGGCGCGTAAAGCTACGGCTGATGACCTAGTGTTACCAGCAGAACGCCCGATTATTTTCATTCTTGAGCGAATGCAGTAGCGCAGGTAACGGTATGTATTGTTGTACAGGTACTGCAAAAACAAACTTTAGAGGTTCAAGGTTTTGTGCTAGAAACGGACCCCCCCAATTTTTTGGGAAAGCCAAACCCTGAGCCTTAAGTAGGCCCTGTAATAAGAAACCCGGTATCACATCTGAGAGCATACTTTTTCAGGCTCCAGGGCTTCGGTGGCGCACTGCCTCAGCATCTCTGAGTGTTTTTGCCTTGGCGTTTTTCCCTCCTACTGAGCAAGGACGCACCCCACAATGTAGGGTGACTTTGGGAGTCTTTGGGTTTAGGGTTTACGCCCAGGGCGTTGCAATACCTTCCACTTGGCCCAAGCGGCGTGGCCAGCATGGCTTCCACGTCGTTCGACGCGTTGCACACTGACCCCAGCAGAGCTATCCTGAGCAACGGGCGCTAACAATCTGCCTTCAAACGCTGAGAAGCGTCGCAACATGTAGCCTTAACCTCAGAATCCTACCCTAAGCCCTCGATCCAACAAATAGAGCCCGACACAACTCCGACATGTCCGAGCGTCGTGCGCAGACCCTCTGCGAAAGGGAGAACGTCGTTCCTGCGAGTAGCTAATTAAGGGTTTTAAGGTGCTTTCAGAGAACGAAGCAGCATCACACTTGTAGTTTTGGGTTTCCTGGAGGGATGTTAGGGACCTCACATTACACATAGAATCGGCTTTCGTTGCCATGGTCTATCTGGAATTGAGCTCCTCAATTGACTAGAAACCTAGTCTTTGCGGCTTATTAGTTTCGGGGGGCGGGGAGTAGAGTTGGAGGTTTCGCAGACCCTGGACAATTGGGCGAGTGCATCTGGTAGGAAACTGTTCTCCGAAGCCTCAGCAGCGTTCCGCAGAAGTTTAGTGTCTACCACCTGGGCCACAAGCCCCAAAACAATCATCCTAGAACCAAAAGCAAGAAGAAGATGATGAAGTACCAGAGACATTAAACCCTAAACCCTAAACACCATTAAACCCCGAGGCCCTGTGGTCGATTCCTCTACATTCGGGAGTCAGTTCGCTGGTGCAGCCATGGCGCATCCATCGAGGGATGTGCTGAACAATAGGCACTGTGACAAATGCGAGCGATGGCACAGGTAGCCTAAAACAAACGTGCCATTTGTAGGGTACCTCTTGCAACTAATACATCTTAGGCTCTGCTTCACGTAGTTTGGCAGGGTACAGCCGACAGCGAAATCGACAGAAGGGGTCTAGCAAGCACGTACGGTGGATCCAAACGACATGTTTATGAACCGCGTGACGGGATCAAGGTTGGTATTGCCTGAAAGGTTTTATAGTTCTCAGTTTAGGTTCGATCTCTATTTCCATCCGGGTGTGCTTCGACAAGGACGGCTTATTCGCAAACCCACCCCAGCCATCTCTTGGCCACACCCCAGACTCGAAACCACAACGACTCCATTTCCAAGACTGCAAAACAAAGCCATAGAACGACACCGGTGCATTCCTGCACCGTTCTCGTGATGTGTACTCTTGTGATATGTACTCGAAGACTGTACTCCACGCTGCAGCCAGTAGACTCTGAACAAGCCATCGCAGACAAACCGTCCCAACACGCGGGGAACATTGGAATCATGATGCGACCAAAGGTGCTCATTCTTCAGCAATATGACCTGTTCATCGGCAGGCGGCTCCACCGAGCTGCTAGATAATGTCGGGGCCGATTCCGGGGATTGAAAAGGGATTGAAAGCAGCACATTTCAATTACTGGGGTGCCTACATCGCATAGATACCACTCTCATGCCCCGATGCACTCTCGGTGCCTCAGGCATGTTTTGCTATGCCGGGGCGAATGGTTTCAGGCTGCTTGAGAGCTGGTTTCTTCGATTTAGGTCTTGCTGTGATGACGGATATGGGCAGGGCTTTAGGTTAACTTGTAATATAGGAGCCTTAATAATTAGAATAAGGTTTTGGGGCCCGTAATACTGTGATTATAATAAGGAACCACCAAAATGGTAATTATTAAGGCCCCTACAGTAGAGCTTTGGGGAGCTTAAGTTCATGATACGCCAGGTGGGTCTGAGGTTGTGGGGGGAATGAGGAATGCGGACCAAGTCCTGAAACTACCATCTCTGAACTCCTACAAATACTAGTTACTAGTTACCCATAACGTCGAAGCCGAAACCAGGCCTTTCGGGCATGAAAGGCCCCTCAACACCAATCCCCTCACCCCAAAACCCCCTAACAACCCCAGGGTTTAGGGTTTAGGTGCAAAGTACACACCCTTGCACCCACGCCCGTCTTCTGTGGACAAGGTGCCGAGTCCGCAACCATCTTCCTTGCCAGCTCCTCTTTGGGCGAGGAGTTTACTGGGTCGGCCTTTAAACCCTTTGAAAAATACTTACATAAAAGGACCCTTATAAACCCAAATAAACAAAAGATAAACTGTCCCAAAAACCGTATTCCATGATATTCTGAGCCGAACCAAAAATGTCCCAACAACCAATCTAGCTTACTATGCTCAATACCCTGATGTGGGCAGGATTCGGGTTCAGCCGGGCGTGCCTGATGTAGGGGGCCTTAATGATTAGAAGAGGGTTTGGGGGCATATTATACTACAATGGTAGGAAGGAACCCCCCAAAATAGTATAGGTAATTATTTAGGCCCCATATGATTCTCCAAAGATTCCAAACAAAAACACCTTGGGATTTGGAAACGTTTGACACTCACACTCGAACAGGCCGGGCAAGGTCTGCAGAAGATCCAGGCGGAAATTGATCCCCAGACGAATATCCCATACTGTAGTTCGGGGTCTCTGGCGAAACGTTCCTTCCGTAATTCTGGGAACACGGAGCTTCATAAGGCTCAGCTCCTAGCAGGTAACGAGCTCAGCTGCTTTGATTGGGGTCGTAGCAGCGGCCCACGGTGTGCCGTGTGCGGAGAGAGGCCCCAGTCGGCTCAAAATGCTCGGAAGCAACACAAGGTGTCTGAAACCCCGCTCCTTAACCCTAAACCCTTTTTGCATCAGGACTTGTGCAATCGCCTGAATGTCTCAGCCTACAGAAGTTCAGCAAACCCTAAACCCCTAAACCCTAACCTCCCCCCCCCCCGAAATTCTAGTGCTCTTCCCGAAACGACAAGCCGCAAGCCCTCAGCCGAGGCACACGGCTTCACCCTCCCCAACTCCGAAGAGCTGAAAGGCCAACTCCAGCTACAAATGGACAGCTGTTACGAAAGCAGCCTGGGCCGCTTGAGTTTGCACCCCTATCAGTCAAAGTGTTCTGGGAGGAGGCTGGACATATAGCGTAGGTCCTGAATGCGGCTAGACGAGAGTTTCTCCGCTCATATTCTTCCTGGAGCTCGCTGGATGCATGTCGGCTGCTGCTAATCGAAATACAGACCGGCAACAGCTCTCCTCATGCCGTGGCGCTGTACATGTGCCCTAAAGTCTCCTCATGCCGTGGTGCTGTACATATGCCACATGTCCTGAATTTCACATGTCGCACGGCAGTCTCCAGCCTCAAGAAGATTCTTGAGGCTGGAGACGGCAGTGCGACATGTGAGTAGTTCTCTAAATTCGGGTTCCTGTTAAGGCCCTTGTTGTAAGGGTGCCGTACTACATTGGGGACCTAAAGCGGGACCCTAATGTAGAGAACTACCCACGACCTGCTTGTCTGTCGCCATCGCCATGTTGCTGCTTCCTTTTTATCTGTCGTCGTCGAGGTCGGTGCGCACGACGATCGGGAGGGCGCGTAGAGCGTCCAAGCAGCCCACATGAAGCCCCCCCAAATTGAGCAATCGGTGGCTGGAGGGTCACCGGATGCCTTTATGACAACGCTCATGGAGGAGACCTCGCAGAAGTTCACGGACATACAACTTTCGCGAGAGGATGCTGAAGCGATGGCAGCCATGATGGCAGCAAAGCAACCCTTGGAAGCAGAGGCACAGCGACCACCCAACCCTCATAGAGATCTCGGAGTAGAAGCAGATTGATGATAAGTTGTCACAGGAGGATGCTGAGGAACAGTCTGCATGCGACACAGATGGCTGGGACAGTGATGACTTCTGCATCGGTTCCAGCCTGTCACCACGCCTGGCAGCAGTCAAGCTCTTTGCAGCAATGGGAATCTTGGAAGACCTTGCATTCGTCACAAGTGCTCCTGTTGCGCCCACCAACACCATGAAAAGCGAAGAGCCTTTCAAGGACATTTGAGACAGTTTGGCTGACAACATGTCGCCAGAACTGGTGGCAGCTAACCTCGTGCACGCGGCCCAGTTCATACAGGCCTATACAGAATGACTGAACGATGCTAGCGGTGCAAGTGCCAAAAGCGCTGAACAACCTGCGTGTTTAGCTGTCAGTGTGGCCGAGAACTGAGGGTAATCTGGGTTCAGTTCATGTATTGGGTATTACGGGGTTTAAGTTTAAGGCTTCGGAACATTGCGATGTTTGTTTGAAAATCACGGAGGATGCGGTTAGCCAGGGGGGCTAAAGTCTAGGACATTTTCAGGTGGGTAGTTATTGTTATAGGAGCCTTATAGAAGCTCT